TAGTTCAAGATCAACCAATACTTTCAAAAGATACACTCAGGTATGTATTAGAGCAAAGGCAAGAAGCAAATCCAAAAGTACATTTTTCAAGCTCTTCAGCAGCCTTTTCTGCTCCCTTTTCAAGCCTTATCTTGTGGACCCTAGCCCTTCTTTCTGTCTGTTATATTAAAGAAATCAAGTGAAACACATTCATAACATAATCAGGCATGTCTAAGTGAAATCTAATCAAAGTTCCAAAGCAGTTTACGCATACACAATTTAAATGACTTTAGAAACTTCAAGAAAATACCCTTATCATTTAAGGAAAACCGGTGAGATGATGATAAAAATAAAAAATAACCAATGAATGATGACCAATAGAGAGGAAGAACATTAAAGAGCATCTTAAAAATGAGGTCTGATAAAAACTGTGAAGATTAGAATAAACAAACACTTTCATTCATGCAAAAACACATTATGCAATAGGTTAGTGGAAATCAGTTTTTTATATCAAGATGTGTCCTTACCATCTACAGAGCAAAATCCAGTGATTAACTTTACATAAAACACATCATGAAGATTTTATTTTTATTTTTGGAAAATATCTTACCGGAGTTTCAACCTCCTTAACAGGTGGAGCATATTCTGGATCACCCGGCTCAGCAAAATTACTAACGAATTGAGCCATTCCTACCGATGGAAAATGATTTACATTTTAGCTTCATGTTAATCAACGAACCAATAAAATTCATCAGAACAGTAAATAGAAACCTGTATATGGAGGGCATTTTCTCTTCTCAGGAGGTGGTTTGAATTCCAGAGGTGGGCGAGGCTCAAACAGTTTTAGCAAATTAGTTGTCAAACCAGTAGGGTGGCTTTGACCAATCTGCATTACAATTAACTAGATTAGTAGGAGGAAGCAAAATGCCCTATAAATTAATAGGGCATGTTAGCATTTATTAAAATTAAAATAAAAAAAATAAAAATAAAAAAACATTGCTGAAACTGATCCAAACATCTAGAAAAAATTGCATTTGCATCCGCTGCCGGCTGCTGCTTGCCAGAAGAAAGACCAAAACAACAAAGTTCAGGTTACTGAAACTATTTCAATCATTCAGGAAAAGTCTCATTTGTCAGCTACTGCTTGCCAGAAGCAAGACCAAAGCAACAGAGTTCAGGCTTGAGCTAATCTCCTCAAATCTTATTGAGCATTTAGCGTTCCATGAGGAAATATAGCACAAATAAGATAAATCAAAGCACAAATAAGATAAATCAAAGCTCTACATAGACGTAGGATCAACAAAAATTATCATCAATACAGTGAAAATACTTCCAAAACACACACTCTTCAAAACCAATCCAAGGCCATAAATTCGTCATATACACTAACTCACAACCGGCAGATGCAAAACTCAAAAGCAATTTAAGGATGCGAGTGGAGTAACAGAACGAATCAAACAAATCTTAAGTCTTAACTGATATAGCGTTATATTTATCAAAGTAAATATAAACAACTCACATCCACATTAAGTTAAATCCAGAGAGAACTAGATAACAAAACAAGAACAAATCCAAGATATCCTACACTTAAGCAGCAATAAAACTATTATTTACCAGCTTGAGTTGCATAACATTGGCACGGTTTTGGGCCTTGGTGCGCGCCTGAACGGCGGCGTTGTTGCGCATGAACGCATCGTTGGGATCTCCCATTGTCGGCGATATCGAAGAGAAATCCTAGGGTTTCCCCTCGAAGGTAAATGATCGTCGCGGTTACGGTGAACGGACGGCGAAGATCAGATGCATCTATATATAGACCTGGATTGGAGAGAGTGAGAGATCTCTATCGCAGATAAGAGCGGCAGCGAACCCAGAAAGCGAAGCGGAAGGGTTTTGAGAGCGAAGCATATACGTATTATGTATTTACAGAGGACGCTAACGAGTTTAAGATATAAAATTTATATATTTAGTTATTTAGTAGCAACAACAATCTAACCAAGTTGATAAACTGTAGCAAATTATGCTATGGACTCGTGTTTATCATGTGTATGGTGAACACGTTATACATTCATAATTTATATACTGTACATTTATACTTTTTAAATTATAAATTCGTAATTTTTATATTGTAAATTTATAAAATTTATATTGTAGATTCATAATTTATATACTGCACATCCATAATTTCTATACGGTATGAATTTACATTATAAATTTTATAGATCTACAATATAGAAATTATGAATCTACAGTACATAAATTATGAATTATCCAGTGCACATTTCGACTTTGGGTAGCAACGGCAAGCGTCGCATCAACAAAAAAAAAAAAAATGCAAGTGCCCTCATCACTCAATTTTTAAAAAATATATTTAGAAATTAATTTAAAGTTTTTTTGAAAAAATAAATTTAATTTTAATTTAATTTAAATGTTGTTTAAATAATATTAATTTAAAAGTATTATTAAATATAAAATCACAAATTTAAAAATTATAATCCATGAGGATGTTGTGGGATTTTCTAGAGCTCGTAAGGTCTATAGCCACCGTTAGTAATACTCCTCGTTTCGATGTCTCCCATAGCTTTTGTGTGTGTAATCATGAATTATATATATATATATATATATATATATATATATATATATATATATATATATATATATATATATATATATATATATATATATATATATAGAACATTTAAAATAATACAAAAAGAAAATTGTTTGATTTATGAATAATAAATGAGTTAATACCCAAAATTGTCCTCGACTATAGTGGTTTTTCTCAATTTCGTCCTAAACGACTTTGGTGACCTAATATAGTCCCAGTCTTTTGTGTTTCGCTCAATTTAGTCCTCCGTTTGTTATTCCGTCAAATTGGTGTTAAATAAAGGGACAATTCAATAATATCAATATTGATCTTTCTTTACTTTCAACCTGCGAAGTGAGAAATCTCTCTTTCTTACACGAATTACACTCAGAGTTACTCTTAGACCTACGAATCAAATTTTATATTCGCAGCTTTAGAAGTGATTCTGGGAGTAAGTCGTAAAAAAAAAAAAGATGGATTTCGCACTTCACATGTCTATGAATAAAGAGATGTCAATATTAAAATTACTGAATTATCTATTTATTTAACAATAAATTGACGAAATAACAAATGGGGGACTAAATTGAGCAAAAACACAAAAGTCTGTGACGAAATTGAGTAAAAACACAAAACTTTGGGACTACATTAAGTCACCAAAGTCGTTTAGGACAAAATTGAGAAAAACCACTATAGTCGAAGACGATTTTGGGTATTAACTCAATAATAAATATAACACATAAGTTAGAACACATACTATGTATCAAAATGTTACACTTATCATTATATTTTTACTACTACATAACGTGACAAGCTTTTTATACGTAGTAATTATTTTTTTAAAATTGTATACATCAATTGAAGTGACAAATACTAATTGATAGAGAGTGATTATGCAGAGGTATATAGCATTATAGCATTGCTCCGAATATTATTATTGAATAGAATAATAATAAAATCATATTAGTTGTTCATACCAAAATCAAATATTATTATTAAACAAATTTTTTTAAAATAAAATAAAGGGGTGTCTAGGCGCCGATTAATCGCCGTCTAGGCGCTAAGCTCTCCCGAGAGGAATGCCTAGCGATTTTTTCAACCATGTATACAAACATACAATTTTTATATATATTTTTTTACAAATGTGCTCCCAAATTTGGGGCCCAATTATTAAAAAAAAAATTAAAAAAAAATATATAACTTATATAGTATATATATAATATGTTTTTTACAATTGTGCCCCCATTTTTGGGGGCCAATTGTAAAAAATAAAAATAAAAAATGATATATATACACATACTATACAGCAGGCAGCACTACCTATTGTATAGTATATGTGTGTGTGTGTCTATATATATATATATATATATATATATATATATATATATATATATATAATTGGGCCCTGGGCAAACATGTCCAGAGTCGGTCCTGAGTAGATATTGCTAAACCACTATAAATTTGGTGTTTTTCTTTTCATTTTTTCTTGGATTTAATCATTTAAGATAAATAGGCTTAAAAATTTTATAACTTAATTCACCCATTTTAAAGTTAAACCGGGACTTTCATATAGGTTTTTTTTTTTTTTTTGAATGCTACTGGTTCTATTACATTGTAGTATCTGTTCATATACTTTCTCAACCTACTGAAACACAGAGAACCAATAACGCCTCCACTGAAGCTCGAACTCATAATCTTCCAAATGGAAGTCCAACCCGGATACCATTGGACCACATAGTCCTGATGACTTTCATATAGGTTAATTGCACTTTTTAAGAAGTCTAGTAACTTAATTACATTGTTGTATATGTGTAGTTCACTGTTTGGTTTATTTGACAAATTTTCATAGTACTTGCATGTCAAAATAACACAAGTTAGACAAATATTTTCGAACAAGCATCGGGCTCAAATACTCAGGTCAAATATAAACACTTGACGTCCACATTAACATGCAAATGTATTGGCCAAAAAAGAATTGGTATCCACTTTGTAGGTCAAAGCACCCATGAGGTCTCTATATTATAGTATTTTGTTTAATTTAGTTATTTTATTTTTTTATTTTTATTTTGTTCAATTTAGTCCATGTATTTTAAAAAGTAGTGAATTTAAGGACAATAGTTAACAATGTTAATATTACCGTTAGCTTACGTGGTCTGACATCATCACTGTCACATCATGATATTTATATTCCAACTCATATATTACTTTATATTGGTGATAAAAATAATTAAGTTTAAATATTTATAAAATAATATATGAGTTGGAATATAAATATCATGATGTGGCAATTATGATGTCAACGTCCCGTAAACTAGTTAACAATAATATTAACACCGATAATTGTTGTTCTTAACTGCACCATTTTCTAAAAGTACAGTAATTAAATTGAACAAAACACTATATTACATGGACCTCATATGTACTTTGACCGACTTTGTATAATCTCCTCATTTATAAGACAATTGTTCCGTGTTGGAAGAAACTCCAGCAAACTCCAAATATACAAGCAACGTCCACATTTTTTGGTATAGTTATACATGCTGGAAAGTCCACTATACCAATCAATACATGTGCGTTTTCTGCTCGGTACAAATACATAATTGTAATGACTATACAATTAGAAATCCTTACCAATAATACTTTGGTACATTCCTATATAATGTATATGGTAGTACCAAGTAAGCTTAACACCAGTTTTGAACAGTATATATTTGGTTGAAGATTAGTAGAGTAGAAGTTATACTCTATTGTGGTTATGGATTTGATAGTGTTCCGTGGAGTCGATGTTTGAGGAGGAGGACGACGTCGGATCGAGTCCCGTGTTACCTCCATATTCACTGCTGTTGGATTCTGGGCTTGTCAATACCATTTCCCTGAACTTCATCATATCTGCATTGTATGCAACAGTGTCGTATAACTGAGTGTCGTTTGCGCCCACCCCCGCATTCCGAACGGCCTTGCCGTTCAGGTGGTCCGGAGAAGAGTTTCCTTCCAATGTGTGCATAATCTGCATATTCAATTGCCAAAACACGTACACACATAATTAGTGATGTCAATCTTAGTCCAAAATTAATAGACAGATCTGATAAGCCCACTCGATAGCCCGAGGTTTTAGTGTTAAAGTCCAGAATTGCAAATCCGACCAGAAAAAAGCCAAATTAGCCCGACAGTCAGATAGGACTAGCCAGAAACTGAACGGATTGGCTTGATTGATATCAGTACACATTAAAATTACCTGGCTCATCTTTGGGCGTCTTTTAGCAGAGTGACGAATGCTGGCAGCAGCGCAAGCCGCCATGCGAGACATATCATCGTGGTCGAAGTTTCCTTCCAGACGCGCATCTGCCAATGGAGCATAGTTGCCATCTTCAAGAGCTTTGGCAAGAAGTGGCCTAGCCTGTTCAAGTAAGAAGATAAAACCCGAGACTTAGCAGGAGAAACTACACTGATTTTGAGACTCTCTGGGAACAAAGATTCAAGAACAAACCCAGTCTACTAAGCTGTCTTCCTCATGGTTATTGATATCCACAGGTCTACGCCCAGTAATAAGTTCCAGAAGCATGACACCATACGAGAAAACATCAGATTTGTCTGTCAGCTTGCCGCTTGATGCATATTCTGGAGCCAAATACCTAAAGTCATAGACATTTGTTCAGTTCCTTAACCGAATCATCATAGATTAAGCTAAGAACACTTCATAATTCATATGATTGAATTGTCACGTACCCGAATGTTCCCATAACACGAGTTGAGATGTGGGTGTTATTGTCAGTAGAGAGTTTAGCCAATCCAAAATCCGCAACCTGGAAAATCATGTCCACACATAAAGTGCAGTATGTTGAGCATATAATATAACATGTGCAATCCAACTATAAATTTAGGCTTTTAGTTGAGATGGAGCATGCTTCAATTCAGTAAGCATATTAAAGTATTATCATTGCTAATTTGCTAGCTAGTAGTATACTAGTATGCGGTTTAACATTACCATGGCTTCAAAATTCTCGTCGAGCAAGATATTTGCAGTCTTGATATCGCGGTGGATGATCCGAGGATGGCCTGCATTTACACAGCAAGGCAAGGCAATAAGAACATAAACAACTAACATCAAGAAAGGGAAGGAAAGGAGGTGTTTTCATACAGTCTTCATGGAGGTAAGCTAATCCCTTGGCTGATCCCACTGCAATTTTAAGCCTGGTTGCCCAATCCATAACTGGCTGACCCTTTCCTGCAGATTTTTTGCATTAGATAACAAGCAATTGATCATTACAATGATAAGATCATGCGTTAGACTAGTTAATTGGTTGAATTCAATCTTTTCAGTGTTGTTTGGTCCATGTGCATTACAGTTCAGAACATGATATCAGAGCTTGTTCGATCCACTTTGAGAAGAGATGTATGTACCATGAAGGTGGAACTCCAAGGTTTTGTTGGGAACAAATTCATAGACCAACATTCTTTGGCCGTGGCCAATGCAATACCCAACAAGGGAGACAAGATGGCGATGGTGAACTCTGCTAATGATCTCCACTTCCGCCTGGAACTCTCTTTCCCCTTGGCCGCTCCCCGTCTTCAAGCTCTTCACCGCCACCTCCTTCCCGGCGGTCAAAACGCCTTTGTGCACGTACCCGAACCCGCCTTGCCCCAACAGATTCGCCTGAGAGAACCCGGCGGTGGCTGCCGCCAGCTCCTCGTATGAGAATTGGGACTGGTTGAAACCGCCCATGCCTGGCGGCGATGCAGGTAGGGGGGAGAAACCCGCGCTGTGTTCGCTACTAACATTGCCTGGTGAGTGTGGCGGCACCGCAGCCCAGCTACCGGCGGCCGGCTGCGGCGGAATCTCGAGAAATTCAGGGTCGTTAAGCCGTTCCGTGGAGCCATTGAAGTACGGTTTATCTCTGCCCATCGCTAAACAATCAAAAAAAAAAAAAAAACTCATCGTTAAGCATCAAATTTAAAAAATGTAATTGAAATCTCAAGAGAGGAAACAGAACAAACTTGGAGGTGGACGTGCGGCGTCCATATAGTAACGCTGTTTCTTCTTCTTCTTGGTACACATTAGGCACAAAACTACGACGGATAGCAACAATATTGCCGCGACGAAAACACTGGCGATGATAATTGCGTTAGTATTCGCTGAAGACGAATGAGCGTGGCCGGATTTTGGAGACTCCGATGAAGGTCGTGATGGTGCTGATGAAGGCGTAGATCGTATTGCAGCCGGTGCCGGCGATCCTCCTGCAGGCACACCCGGCGCAGGCGGTCCTCCTGCAGGTACAGCCGGCGGAGGCAGGAATACGGTTGGAGTATTGCTATCTCCGGTTTTATCAGGGGAGGGGTTCCTCGATTCAGATTGTGACGGCGGAAAAGGTGTTGATTGAACCGGTTCGGCGTCGGGCGTCCTGGTTGGGGCGGGGGACTGCGGCGGAGATGGTGACGGAAGAGGCGATGATTTCGACGGGGTGGATTCGGAACGAGGAGGAGCAGGGGACGAAGGCGTCGCGGGTGGCGGGGAGGAAGGAGTCGGCGGAGGAGAAGATGGCGGCGGCGATGGAGGCGGAGACGACGCGGGCGGTGATGATGATGAAGCCGGCGGAGATGGTGGAGACGAATCAGGGGGAGAAGAAGAAGAAGATGATGAATTATCTGGCGGCGGTTCGTTAGGAGCGGATGGTGTCCCGGACGGAGAAGTCGCCATTGCAGATGACTTCCCGGCCGAGATTTGAATCCTCAAAAACAAACCAACCGCCGGCAAACGAAAATTACTCCCCCCACCCGGATGCCTCTCTCTTTACATATGATATGTCCCTAACAAAAACCAATAATTCAAAGATTAGCATTCTGGGAAGCATTGGGAGCTCCATGCTTATGAATTTCAGAATAACATAACATAATGAAGAAATGAAGAAATGCAAGAAAGAGATGAAAATACCTGAGGAAAGAATGAGAGAGAGGAAAAGGGATGGGTTGTCAAAGGGAAGACACAAAATTGTGCAGTCTCATCCTCTTCTGTTCTGTTCATCTCACCATGAAAAGGTATTCTCATTTCCCCCTACAAACAAGGGCCTGTTCGCAAATCTTTGGCTTCCAATTTTCCACTTCACAGTCTTATTTGTTCGCAACTACATATATTATGGAAAAAAAGTAAAAGTGTCCATTGCATGGGAGACACTTCACCATAGTTCGGTTCTAATTCTAAATAGACCATTCTTAGTTTCGAGAACAAAAGAATCAGAACCCCATCCTGAGCAGACAGAGTATTTGGATGGTTCAGTGGACAGAGCTAAATGTTGATCCGCACAAGAAATTTGCACACTTTGAACATAATTTTCACACGGTGATCGTTTACCCACTGAACTATTGAGCTAAGCATATGCGGGCTAGAAGGTACTTCAATTTAAATCGAACTTTTTATTTAATTTTTTTAATTCTAATTTATATTAAAAATATTTTTGAGTTAAAACAATCTAAAATGCTTTGAAAACTGTAGCGGGTGCTTTCTCCATTATACATAGTCCGATCTTTATTATTTATTTTTTGCATCTAACTTTTGGGTGTACCCGGTGCAATCAACATCTTAGAATTTTTCTTTTTCTTATCTTATATATATAAGTTTGATAGCAATATAGCATAGATTTGAATCCATAATAATAACCTATTTATTCCTAATTTTGGTTATAAATTGGAAAACAAAATAAATGTTCCAAAGTATAAAATTGTAGTCAAAACAAAAGAGTTTAGTCACAACATCATTTTCAAGTTTTATATTGAAGACTTGAAGTGCAAATTAAAGAATTTAATGGCATCTTTGACTCTTCCTATCTTCCAGCACTTCATCAAAGCACAGCTAACTAATGCTAAGGAACCATCAACCATTTCATGATAGGAACCGGAGGAAGCTAGAATCTCTGCTTACCCATGTTAGATGGCATAGCATGGGAACTAAACCATGTAAGATTAAGACACAAAAGGAGTCTCTTAACAGGTTAGTACACAATTTCCTACACCGTCGCATGAACACAACAATAGAATCAACTGTACACTTTCGAGGATTACCACATTAGTTGCCTTTGTCGTTTTCGTCTTGCTTAATTGCTCCTTTATCTGTAATGTTATGCTTTGGTGGCTGCGAGAATTGAGACGAGGGGGGGAACCTTGATGAAGCCAGTGACTGAAATGGCCAAGACACTGGAACTGCACCAGAAGCAAGTTGAGAAGAGAAGTATGGTCTTGGGGTACTGGAAGTGACCCTTGTGTTTGTCTCTACTTTAATATCCTCTGGGGTTTTGTCTTGTGAATCAATCTCCATTGCATGAGCCACATTTTGATTTTTCTCGGCACCTGTCTTCCTCTCATTACTACTACCGAGTGGACCTTTTGGCAATGATGGTGGCCAAGACATTGTGCTTTGTGAGGCATGAATATTATCTTTTCGGTCAGTATCTGCCTGACTGGCCAGGTGGGATATAGTTATCCCATCCATTGGTTTGGTCATCTTAGCTTCAGCCGGCTTGTCCCTCTCAGAAGAAGTTGCTTCAACGATGTCAGCTCTTGAGTTCGAAGCGCGGCCTGATGCAATAGTAGCTGTCGGGAAAGCTTTCTCGGGTGGGACAGCTGGATTATAATTTGATGGTAGCAGATCATCCCAGTTTTCCAAGAGTTCCTTGTACACTTTCCGAAGAGTGACCTCGGTGAGTCCTGTTACCTTACAGATTTCAGCCTGAGTCTTCCGTTTGTCTTCCAGTTGGCAAGCCAAGTATATTGCCGCAGCAGATATGCTAATTGGGTTTCGGCGAGTGCAGAAGCATTTATTCATCACCACCTCACCAATGTGAGTTGCCAGCTCCTGTAACATTTGTGAGGCACAAATTACCAATGAATCCAGTAAATAGAAGTTTGCAATCCAAACTGTTATTGCATTTTCCTTAGTAGATTTAATAGTGCACCAAATATATGATATGCTTTTATAACAATCACATACAACACAGATGTAAGATTTTTTTGGTGATCAATTTGTGCAGACCTAAGCAACTGACATCTCTATACATACTCCAGCCTCCAGGTGCTACTTCGCAGGCATCCCGAGGACTCAAAGACTCTTAGAAAATGTTAAGATGATTTTAAGTGTGGAGTTGTTTAGAATTACCCTAAGCTGGTAGGGACTAAAAAGCTTAGGGTGTGTTTGGTTAATGGGTTTACACATTAGGAATGAGAATCAAAATCATAGTTAGTGTTTGGTTGACAACTTTTTAAAACACAACTATGAGATTTGATTATCCCTTCAATTAAAAATCTCATTTTCTAATTAAAAAGGGGCATCATTCCATCTGATTGATATTCTAATTTTTAATTTTGGATTAGTACTTTTAGATTTTTGTTTTGATTTTTTTTTTTTGTTCGTATTGAGCTTTGGATGTCATTATATTAGGGTCAGTTTCCTTGATTCTTTGTATTTTTAAAACATTTATTCCCATTATAGGGTCATACACACAACCAAACATCAATATTGGTAATCATTCCAATTTCACCCTTCTACCAAACATGCAAAATACTTTCACCAAAATCCATTACCATTACCAAGTATTTGATTCCCATGTGCGAACCAAACACACCCTTAGTCTTTCTACTTGGTATGCCACTCCCCTAAGAAAGAATCATTCTATTCCCTAGGTAAATCCTAGATAAGGCAGAACAACCACTGTCATCCTTTCCTTGGTGTGGACCTTATCCTAAACATACTAAGGCCAAAGTATAACACGAGTAACTAAGTATGTAAACCTTATGAAGAGCTGAAGAGGTTTGTGCTTGTATGGCAAGATACATCTTGAGTATTGCGGCAAAGAAGGAAACTTTATGGGCTCAGCAGATCCACCATTCTTATCTTTTAAGAAAAGTATGTCTCTGGATTCTGCCCATTCTTGTTGGTTGTTCTTGCAAAGGAGGAAACTGGTGAATATTGATATTGGGGATTGCAGAAAATGTCGTTCCCGGGATGGACCATTGGCACTATTGGCTATGGGATCTCAGCATCTTAATTTTTCAGATGGGATGAGTTAAGTAATTTGCTATTTATATGATATAGCCAGACCTTTGAGTATTGCAGGGTAAACAAGAGATGTTGCTCAATTAATTCAAGCCACACCTCTCGAGTATATAGCACTCTTCCAACTGCTAATAATATAACCTAAACTTACCCAAAAAAGTAGGAAAGCAAAAACATGTTTTTCCTAGTCCTAGTCTATATTTGGCATCAAATATCGATCACAGGAGTTTATTCAAACGCGTTCTCAGAAAGACGGAGAAATACCTGAGCAGATTTATTCAGCTGGAGAAGTGTACAAAACCTCGGCATATGAACTGATATAGAATTACTATTAATCGGTTGACTTAGCTGCAGAGCTTCTCCAAGGATCTTGATATACTTTCCAATTTCCTTTTGAGGTAAATTGGCAGCAAGTGATATTTCCTGAGATATCAAACACAAAGTTAAGATGCTAGTTCTATACATTGCTACTATCATCTGGAATTGCTATATGGAGAAAAAATCAGACAACAAACAAATAGGAAAGCTAGCCCTAAATGTTATGATTCATAACCTTAATTCAATACATTTCATGATAAATTAAGAACACAAAAACTATTAATGGCAATAAATTTAGATATCTGGGAGCAGTTGATATACCTGGAGAGTTCTGGGCTCTTGAGCTTCCCTTATAGCTTGAACAAGAGCGGCAGTGGCGAGGGCTTCAACACTGCGATTCCTCAAGCACGTGGCGGAAGAACAGTCCCGGAAGAGCTGAAATGCGTGGTCGGAAATATCGTATTCGAGCCGGAGAATTGAAGCTACGTCGATAATCTGCAAATAAGCCCTAAGATTGTCGACCACGACGGAGGGGCTAGAAGGATTGGAAGACGAGGACGTGGTTTCGAGCACGCGCTCTAGCTCGGCGAGATGGCCGGCGAAAGAGATGGATGATTGGGCGAAGACGGGGTAGTGTTCGAGTGACCAAGTGGAGAAGGCGGTGATGAAGCCAGTGGGCTCAAACGGGTCTTCGTCGTCGTTGTCGTTGGTGGAGGCGGCGGAGGCGGTGGCGGATACGGGGAGGGTGGGGAGGTCGGAGGTGACGAGGCAGAGAGGAGAGTCGTGGGCGCGGACGTGGAATATGTGGTGGGGCTGTGTGTGACGCTCCTCCACCACGCGGCCGCAGGAGCCGCACTCTGTAATTGAGCGGCCGGTGGATGTGGCGGCGCAACGCCCCTGTGTCGCCGCGCAATACGGACACCGCATTTCTGTGTGACGTGTTTGGGTTTGGGTTTGGGCTGGACCCAATAATCTTAGCTGTCCGAATCCACATTTTATAGCTTTGCTCTTCTGCTCCCGGATATTTTCACTTGGACTCCTGTAGTCCTGTTGTCCTTATATTTCTCATCCCATTAAAAGAAAAAAAAAAAAAAAACTCAATAAAATGTAGTAATCTTTTTATTTCATTTTGGCCCTGCTGATAGCTGTTAGTTGTTAGCTGATTGTGTTAATTAGAGAGTATAAATAGTTGATAACATTAGCTGATTGTAGAAAAGTGTTTGGTAAATTAGCTGTTAGCTGATAGCTGTTTGGTACAATTTCTTTTCTTAAAAAGCTAATTGAAAAAGTTGCTTGGAGTAGCATTTTGAATTTTAGCCTTTTGGAGTTGCAAAAAACTAATTAACTAAACATTTATATTGATATTTTAACTAAATCAAACAATTAATAGTGGTCAAATAAGTCAAAATTGGCCTATAGGCCAATTTTTTACCAAACAGCGCCGTATCTAATTCAATTATTAAAATATTATTGAAGTTATTTATAATTTAAAAACAAAAACAAACAAAAATATACTATATGTTATTCAATTAGGATGGAATATTAAACAAGTACCGTGTTAAAATTTACATTTTTAATTGACAAATTAAGTGTATGTCTTACCGTGTTCAATGGATAGTGAAACCATCTACTATAAATAGTAATGAAGTGATTTAGAAATAAAACCACTTCATTATTATTTATGGTGGATGGTTCGACTGTCTATTGAACTCGGTGAGACACTTAGTTTGATCATTAAAATGTGGGGCAACTTCAACCAAGTTTGTCACGTAGTTGATTTAGTAATTATAAAATTATAAGTTTGACTTTTCACATGAGTAGTTTTTGCGTTATTGATTTGAATTGGCCAGTTATAGACAATATAGGTTAATTATCTGGTCATTAGTCAACTATGAGCACAAGGTGATAGTTTGCCCAATGTACATCCTCAGATAATGATTACAAGTTTCTCTCGCCGTAAAAAAAAGAGTAAATAATGAGTAAGTTGCACACTTTTCTTAAGATTCAATATTACTGTGGCAATATATAATTGCAATTTTATCTAATTAATTATTAAGTAATTTTTTATTTGTTTTTTAAAACTTGTAATGGGTTCGCCAATTTAGAGAAAATTACACTTTTGGTCCTATGACTATAGTGGAGGTGGTAATTTCAGTTCGTGACTTTTAAAACTAACAGATTTAGTCCTTTTAGTAAGCTTTTTTTTACACATTAAGTCCTTCCGGCCAAATCACCGGTGGATTTTGGCCGAAAAAACACAATCCCTTAATTTATTAAATATTTGGGGAGTAAAATGGTCAATTCAGATTCTTCTTTCTTCTTCCTTCTTCTTCCTTCTCCTTCCTACTTCTTTGTTCTTCTTCTTCCTTCTTGTATTTGGGGGGTAAAATGCACTGATGTTTCAAGTATTTTTCTTCTTAAACACATTTAAATATTTCAAGTATTTTTCTTCTTATCTATACATCCCATAATCCATCCTTGGGGGCGTATACTGAATTGCAGCTTCCGTTGCATTTATTCTCTGTTTCTCCACATATGCATGCCATCCTTGATAAACAAATAAACTAAATTAGGAAAAGGAAAAACACTATTTTTAATCTCTTAATGGTTGTTAATTATATGATATGTGATATATGACGCATAACAGATAACAATTAAGAATTTAAATGTTTGATTTTTCCATAGCAGAATCCAACAATCATCACACACACACACACACACACACACACACACACACACACACACACACACACACACACACACACACACACACACACACACACACACACACACACACATATATATATATATATATATATATTTATATTTACCTAAGCCAACGTCAAATTCCATGCGATCAAGCTGACGATACTGCTGGCAGAGCGACAATTTCATGCAGAAGAAATGTAAAAGGAAATCCATGAAGATGCTGCCATTCAATGCATACTTGTTCCTCATTTTAGTCCGATAATAGCATGAGTAGATAGAGGATCATTGGGACAACGTTAGAACGTGACAAAACGCAAACATCAATGCATTTTACCCCCCAAATACAAGAAGGAAGAAGAAGAACGAAGAAGTAGGAAGGAGAAGGAAGAAGAAAGAAGAATCTGAATTGACCATTTTACCCCCCAAATATTTAATAAATTAAGGGATTGTGTTTTTCCGGCCAAAATCCACCGGTGATTTGGCCGGAAGGACTTAATGTGTAAAAAAAAAGCTTACTAAAAGGACTAAATCTGTTAGTTTTAAAAGTCACGAACTGAAATTACCACCTCCACTATAGTCATAGGACCAAAAGTGTAATTTTCCCCACCAATTTATGTGTAATAATTGAAAAAATAAAGAATTTTACTTCTGCTGATTTTACAACTTAGGTGGTCGACGATTGGTCAACACAACTAGTCAAACACAACGTGAAAAGTTTATAGAGAATTTAAAAAGTTTGGAATTATTATTGCTTTTAGATTAAAAAAAAAAAAGATTTGAGTCAATTACAAACATTTTCCAAGTATTTATACAACTCAAACAACCAATTAAGAATTATGACTAAATTCCTCGAACCAATGGTACTAATTACAAGTTAATTGTGTAAAACATGCAAAAATCAATATCCAAAACAATAAGAAAAATGACATTCTAATAACGATTGTTCAAGATCTCCTAGTTGTATTTTGCGTAAATGATATAATATATCCATCAAATTTCATACTATATTAAACTTAGGACGAAACTGAATATTAGATGTTTAAACCGCTTGTATCCAACCCATCAATCAATATGTTAAGAGATTCATGAGATCAACTTAAAAGTGAAAAACAACATTATTCTTATCAGACATACGATATAAAAAATTATAAAAATACAACATTTTATTAGTCAAATAAAATAATATAGAAAATTAATGCAAATAATTTTTTTTTATTTTACTTCAAATAAAAACAAAACCCAGCTCATTAGCAGTTGACCCAAACCATTAAAGAAATTCCATTTGCTTTGTTGGTTTGGTGGGCTTTCTATTTGACTTGGACCGAGCCCACCGACACGGTTTTGTAAGAGCCGGTGGCCCGCAAAACATAATCCCATTTTTTAATTGTAAAATTCGATTCTCTCTCTCTCTAGATCGCCTTTTTCATCCACATCTGAGAGTGAAGAACACACGGGAATATATCATTCATTCACATCCAGCTCGATCCCGACAACAATGGATAGAAGAATCAAATAATCCTGTTAAAACAACATAATTCGATTTTCGCTCTTCGTCTTGTTCTTGAATTTATTGGGGTTCTGGAACAATCGGGGAAATGAAGGATGATGACGCGTTGCCGATATCAACTCCGACGTCGTATTCGGCATCATCCGCCACTACCGCCGGCCATTCGAGGAAGGAGAGTTCCCATTCGGTTCTCTTCGGCCGAGGCCGGTACAAGTTCTGGGCGTTGGCAGCTATTCTACTGCTTGCCTTCTGGTCAATGTTCACCGGCACTGTCACTCTCCGGTGGTCCGCCGGAAATCTCAACCGTTTCTCCGACGACTTCGATATTCCGCTGCACGAAGATCTCGACGTCCTCGTGAGTATCCCGCCTTAACCTTCCACACTTCGAGGATGCTTATTTCTTCTGAATTATTGAAGTGAGAGTGTATTGATGTCGGCGGTGAAACCGTGAAAACATCATTAATTTGGCAGGAAATGGAGGAGAGAGAGAAGATGGTGAAGCATATGTGGGATGTGTACACTAACAGCCGTCGGATCAGATTGCCTAAGTTCTGGCAGCAGGCCTTCGAGGCGGCCTACGAGGACTTAACCAGTGATGAGCCTGAAGTGCGAGAGGCTGCCATTTCCGAGATCGCTAAAATGTCTATTCGCTCCATCCATTTTGAGAGCCCACCCGTTCACACGTTGGTTAGTTTCCTCCCTTTCATTTCAGTTCATTGGTTTTATCAATTGTCTACAATCAAATTCATTATTCAATGCACTATCAACTGATCTAAGAAGAGCATTATTGCAATTGAAGTACTATATAGTAGGAGAACTATATACTACATCTTCAATGTACTGCAGAAATAAAGGTCTTGTAATTTACTGCATTTTGTTATAAGACAGTGAACTAATAATTATTAGGAGAATGATATTCTGCATATTCCGTGCACATTACTGTTTGAGAAGTTTCTGGAAGATTTAAGCTGCTACATTCATCATTTGTTGAGATATGAAAGTTAAAGGGCTCAATGCTCATCTCAGCCGCATAGATTGTTAACTTGACTTTTATTTTGTAAATTGCTTGTAATTTTTATAGATTAAATGTTATTTGCGCCTTTTTTTGAAAATAAAAGGCTAATTCATTAATCATAAACAGAAATGTTTACAATACAGATCGTTAGAATGACAGTGCATTCTTTACAGTCAGACATAGATTTCCTAGCAATGTTATAGAAAACTTGGATCGCAATGTTATTTGCGAGTTTTAAAATGAGTTTATAGCTAAAAAGTAATTTGGTAGTAAAAACTCAATTAGAAATTTGATGAGTTAATGAAACTATCCAGTTATGGGAGAAGAGTTTGTTTTTGCTTTCATGTCTTTTTCTGGATTCCTATTTATGTAATTTAGTAATAAATAGCAAGAAGCGATGCACTCTTATCATGACGTAATACTATAAATGTAGTAGATGTTGGTGGGGGGAACCCATAGCTTTTGCTTGTGATGTGACCTTGTTTGTTACCTGCAAGCACTGTGATACTCATAGCCTTTACATTGTGTCCTTGTCCACTGTTTGCTAAGTAGGGCAGTGACTATACTTCTCTCTATTATGTTGTCTGCCTTGCTGCTGAACCTATTGTTTCCAAGATATTTCATGCCAATGTTACATATGACAATCACACTCTTAGAACCCCTTATCCTATTCACTGTTGCCATTTACTTACTAATTTTGCACGCTGGACTATCAATTCTTATGCCTAACAAAACACTAATGTAAATAGTTTTTTTTTTTTTTTTTTGGAATGCTACTGACTCTATTACATTGTAGTATCTGTTCAAACATACTTTCTCAACCTAATGAAGCACAAAGAGTCACCAACGCCTCCACTGAGGCTTGATCTCATGACCTCCCACATGGGAGAGGTCACTACATGCCATCTGAGTACAAGGTGCTTGGCCACTAATGTAAATAGTTAAATGATGAAGTTCTGCTTAGTTCTAGTTAATGTCTCACCATCAGCTCATTTGAATGGGTATTGAAAGCCCTTTCCTTTCTGTAATTCTCTAGTACTAGTGCAGTTTGCACTGAGAATTCTCTTTTGGTTCTCTCTTTGGTAATATTTATATTGCACGAATGTTTGGAAGTTTCTCTGTTTTAGTTGTTTGTTTATGGCATCATTGGCATGCCCTGTCTGACAATGTGTATTGTATCCTAATTCCAAGATTGATTAAAAAAAGGCATTCCCGTGTGGCTGTGGGATGAATAAAAATGGTTGTGAAGGGGAAGGGCCATTTAGGATTAAATACAGATCTGCAAAAAATTGAAATATACAGCTCACTTGATATATTTTGTCCATGCCCTGTTGATATTTCCCCTCACTTGTAAGGATAGTCAGAAACTGAAAATTTGCAACTTTTTTGCATGTATTTCATTTTAGGCGATTCGGGAGTTGTCTAAAGCAAACAGAGTTCAAGAAAATGATCTGAGCAAGGAGTAAATTATGACTCGAAGAATGCTTATGGATCCTAAGAAGTCTGCTAGGTTGCCGATGTTTCACACGGGATCTACTGTCGTTCTGGGGGGAAACTATACTCCTGTTCCTCACTTTTGCAAGAGGGGCAAAAACAATGTATTTATTTAGGTTTTCATTCCTAATTATTATTATAATTTTTTTTTTTTCAGTTTCTTTTATTTTCCCGCTGGGTGAAGAGTGAAACAACATTTTGATTAAATTAATTCATACATAGAAAATTTTGTGTTACAATTGATAACTGCCACTCTTAAGTAGTCAATCAAAGCTTTATTGAACATCTTGATTGCTATTACTGTTAATACCTGGCCAGTACTGTCTCTACACTATGCATTCTGAGTGTTTGATTTTCTTTCTTCACATTCAAGATTCATAACATTTTGTAGTTCGTTTCATCCTATATTGGGTACTCTAACCCCGCCTTATGACCTGAACCAAGGAGATCAATAGGTCATTTCCGTTGGAATCGAACTTGTAACTTTTCTGTTATTAAGTCAACAGTTTGACCAATTTAGTTTGAGTTGCTGCATATATATGTATGTGTGTGTTACTCCTATGACTGTTATGTATTGTGTTAGTGAATTGAAAGTAAAAGTGGGCACATTGAACAAAAGAGAAGAAACTCTATAAATGTGTAATGTTTAAAGAATTGAATGATCTTAATCGAAAAGGAAAACAAAAATGAGTGTCTGTCTATTAGATTTGATGGGAGTATATACAAAAAAAAAAAAAAATGTTGATCCCCATCAATGAATCAATCTTTGTTAAAGTCTGTAGGTGGCATGAAGAACTCTGCATTCAAACCATCAACATTAAAGTCAACCTCTTCAATTTTCCAGGTTTCTTGGAGCTCCCTCTTGTGGTTTGCCGATTGCTCTCCATATCTGAAAACCGTGACAGAAGTCCTACCACCGTGGGCGATATTAACACCATCCACATACTTATACTCTTCGATCACAGATTCATTGCTGGTTTCCCAGAACACTCCGTCGTCGTCTCTGGTGGATTTCACAGTCAGAAGCCTGGAATCTTCGAACTTCACCAAAAGCCCTGATCTCTGGCTGAAGTATCCCCAGATGGTGTGGTGGATTGTTTCATAGTTTTGGGCACTCTGTGCTTCCAGAGCAGACTGCGGGGTGTCCAGCTTCAGGATGAAGCAGTCTTCGTCGTTTATGATCTTTTCCCCTATGCACACTGCGTCTATGAACAGGTTCGCTATGGATCTTGGATCAAGCCCCTATTACATTCACACATATTCCTTTTGCATTCAAATTCACAGTCACTATTCGAAAATGTGCACTGGGTAAATCACGGTCTTAACTAGCAGGCAAATCAGCCTAAGTTACACATAGCTGAATAGCTCAAACCAGCTTAAACCAAGAAGGTTCTTGGGCAGAAGCCAGTAAGGACCAAGTCCAGTCACTATTTGAAAATGTGCACGGGATAAATCACGGCCTTAGCTAGTAGGCAAATCAGCCTAAGTTACATATAGCTGAATAACTTAAACCAATAAGGTTCTCGGGCAGAAGCCATAAAGACCAAGTCCAGTCACTATTCAAAAATGTTTACGGGGTAAATCACGACCTTAGCTAGCAGGTAAATCAGCCTAGGTTACACATAAGTGAATAGCTCAAACCAAGAAGGTTGTTGGGCAGAAAAGGACCAAGTTCAGTCACTATTCGAAAATGTGCACGGGGTAAATCACGGCCTTAACTAGTAGGCAAATCAGCCTAAGTTACACATAACTGAATAGTTCAAACCAAGAAGGTTCTTGGGCAGAAGCCAGTAAGGACCAAATCCAGCATTATATGGCTAAGGAATTGTTGGGCGGAGGCCAATAAAGGGCCAAGTCCCCGGCACATTACTCTCGAAAAGGTGATGACCGTAGAAAATAAAGTTATGTCTTTGCTATTAGTTATAGCTTTTGGCAGGTCAATAGACCGCTGTTACTAGGAGTTGAACTTGTAACATTAGGTTAATAGTTAATGGAGATGAGAAATACGTACCTGCAAGAATCTACGGAGGGGTCTGGGAGACCCCTTGCTGATGGGTCTCTGTTGATTTGAGGATTGCCTCCACACAGACTTGCCATTGCTCCCGGAGATAACCTTGCAGCCTGAGATGAGCAACTCCAGGCACCAGAGGTCAGGGTTCTTCTGCCAAAGCACGAACCCACCTCTCTCCTCGTTCGTCCTCGTCTTCACGTTTTGGTCGCCCTGATGAAAATCCGATGTCCCAATCTTTATGTGCCCTATAATGCACATGCTCCGCACCGCGTTTATCGCCGCCTGTCCTCCCGTCGCCGCTATGTATTGCGTCAGTATGTACTTCGCCGTCGACGCTTCCTGTCCGCCGCAAATTTTCAGCCTCTCTATATATATATAAATGTATAAGTAAAGATATGAATGGACTTACAATGGAGGAATGTTTGGCAGGGCGGTGATGAGCGGAGGGGTCCAAGTGAACTTGGACGGGGATCAAGGGAGATCCGACGGTGTAGAGGAGGAAGCTCATCTCGTTGTAACGGGCGACGATGACCGGCGACGACCACTTGTCGGAAGTCTGGGCCTTCATCCACGTCGACAATGTTTGCCACCGGACGGCGACGTTGTTGCCCATACTCGCAAACATCTCGTCCGGAATGGGCACCTCCAGGATGGTCTCCAGCCCATCTTCCCTGTCGAAATTCGGACACAATTTCCTCATCTGATCTTCCCTGTATGATAATCTGACAAACACAGATTAGATTAAGGTGTGGGGGGTATTTGAGACAAAAATGGATGACACGAGATGGGGCCGCATGGCTGCTGTTCAAGAATGACACGATTAAGCTATTTCGTAGTTGCAGGAGAAAGCTTAGTGGTAGTAGGACAAGGTAAGGTTCCCCTTTGTTTTAGCCATCTTAATGGGGCACCATTTTAGATATTTAGTTACCGTTTTTAACTGTCCTAAACAAATAAATCTAAAGATATTACTATGTCATAACAAATAATAAAAATGTTATACATGATTGTAATTGTGTTAAGTAGTATTTGAAAATAGATTTTACCATACACGTAGAATAGTGATTACTGGACAATCAAACTCTTGCCATGAAGTATATTCATTACAATTAAATAACACAATGATTAAATTTTTTTGGTCAAATGTTAGTATAAATAATGGATATTAAATTTTTTTATCATAAACATTTTAACTTTTTAAATTAATAAGCACATTTTTTATAATACATAACAAAAAAATTAGATATATTCTCGAATGAATAAGTTCATCAACTTTCGAATTGAATTAAGAAGCCTCCACACTAACAATTAGATTTGACACATGATGTCTTTGTAAAAATGACGGCACACAAATTATCATAGTTGAATATTTTACCTAAGACATCCCACATAAAGAGCCAACCGGATACCAATGGACTACAAGCCACTTGATATCATAGTTGAATATTTGATCTTATAATTGTATTAACTATTCAAACTCATTGGGCTTAGTATTGTTTTTTTTTTTTTTTTTTTTTTTTTTGTAATAATATTTTGCATTATTTTCCATTTCTATTAATCTATTAGATTATTCAACATAAACTAAATTTATGGGGAATCAAAAAATGGTATGGGGTCCGAATTCACATTATCATTTGATATAGTACTTAATAATTAGGTAAATTATTTTGATAAGTAATGTAGTCAAGTCACATACAATCGACCACCTGAAAGTGATCTTAAATCAAGTCGAAAGTAAAAAGTGGTCGAAAATAGTAATAAAAAATTTTCCGGATACCAAAAGTGATCGGAACAAGACTTTTGACTTGATTTAAAATTACTTTCAGGTGGTCGGAAATTCCGTAATTTCCAGCAGTGATGGTTTAGTAATTAATTTTTAACTAATGAAATACTTAACATTGTAAGGACAATTTGGTTCAATAAAATTAAAATACAATTTTTTAACATAATATACAATCTGATAAGCAAAAAAAACTAGCTCGATCTCATGACCTTTTACATGAAAAAAATCACTGCATGCCATCTGAACACAAGATGTTTGGCGTATGTGTTTATTTATTTATTTAGTTATTGTAAAATAATCAACAAACCTAAAATATAACATTTCTCCGAACAAGTTAATATTATATTTTCAAAATTCAAACCAAATTTATAAGCTAATCATGCAATTTCAAAAATTTACATAAGGTAATTTCACATGAACCAAATGCGATTAGGTAATTCACGAGTCGGGTCTGATCCGGAAACACAATTTTCGGGTTAAAAAGTCACCCGATTTTAAAATATCCTCCCGAACTCGATCCGAATATATTCTCTATATATACCTCCAGTTTCGTCACTGACATTTCCTTTTCCGGAGAGAGGAGCGCAGCAAATCTGAAGACCCGAGAGTTGACGGTTAGAGTCGACCTGATAAGAGTTCTAAGGTACATATTTCATGTTCTCGAATTTTTGTCTTCATAAACTTTACAGGGCGAATTGTCAGATTGGTGGTAGAGAATTTCCATTTTCCTTGGATTAATGGATTTTATGAACTTGTTATCAGATTGGTTTACGGAATTGCATTTTTTTCTCAGATTTTATGAATGAATATGACATTTTTGCTAACATTCCTTCGGAATGATTGAACTACAGATTGACAACGAGATGAACTGGATTCAGCGGAAAATCTATCTATACAATGTTACTTTTGGTCTCTACATGCTCGATTGGTGGGAGCGATGTCTCTTCAGTATCCTCCATGATCACCAATGTTTCTTTTCTTTTCTCTCTAGCTCAATTATCAACTAAGTAGATCTGGTGCTCTCGTAAGCCATGCTGGATAGATTATGTTAATTCGGTAATAGATTATGTTGATTATGTTAATTCGATACTAGATTGTTGGATTTGGAATTCTTAACGTATTTTAGATATTCTGGTGGTTGTGCTGTTGTGGTTTGTTTGTACAAGGTGTTTCGATCTGCTTCAGAGTTCTCTGGAAGGTATTGTTCCCTCTGCCCCAAATAAAATTGGGCAGTTTATTAATTAGGAATGTTGATATATGCTGTTAAAATTTGGAATCTTATTGATTAGAAACATTCATATTTCATAGTGTGATGATCAGGAGTGTTTAAGCTCTTTGTAGCAAAAGAGAAATTGATGATTGTTAAGAAAGTGTCCCTTCTGAATTAACTTGAGATGTGCTCTGTGTCATGAAAGAAGAATGATGGCATAGATGCTTTGAGTGTAATATGTGAGTAATTTGAGGGAACTTGAGTGCTTGGCAATGGTTAATTTTGAGCATGAGTTGCCTGGCTAATGCTCCATAATATGACTGATTGAATTCTGGAAGAATCTTTGTTAGTTGGTAATTTGAGGACGCTTCTAAACAGGACCTTATGTCGGAGAAAGGTGTATACTTATAGTTGTTTTTTTAAATTCAAATGAAATAAATGTTAGATAATTTTTGACTTTTTGAGAGGCTTATGAGGGGAAAGGGATGTGATGTCTGTGCACTAACAGGAAGAAGAAGCTAACTGATGTCTTTCTTTATTTTCTTTACATATTTAAACTAGCTCATATATATTTGGTAAAAAAAATACCACATTCCTGTTTTTGTTCTTCAGTGTATACTTTTTAGGTGCTTTCCATACCCTTTTTGCCATCGGCTTGTTCTTTTAGTTGTTCTTCAAGTTGTAACTGCAGGACATGAAATCCAACCCCATTTGGGCATATCACTCATTATAGGTTTATCTTTTTGTGTTACATCATGCTTGTTATTATATCTTTATATAAGCAAACAAGTAATGATTTCACATGGAAAGATAAAAATAAAAATTTTAAATTCAGAAATAGGATTGATGCTTAGTGGTCAATGTCTGCAATGACTGACATTTCCCTTGTTACTATTTATTTGGCAATTTTAGATACTTCAACTTTTCTTTTATTCAGTAAATGCATCGTGTGAGTCTTTCAGATCACCAGATGATTGATATAGCCACTTTCTTAAATGGCAGGATATATGGCGATGAGATCATAAAACTATGCTTCTTGAAAAAGGATCACGTCATTATGCAAAGATGCCATAATGTAAAGTTATATTTATTTCTCATAATATATACACACACACATACTCATGAATCTACTGTCAAGCTTCTTTGTTTTGGCATTGTTACATTAATACAATTTGTAGCTGAGTTACCACTTACCACATCTAAATTATTTGGTTCTGGTTGAGGATACTTTTTTACATATTTACTCATGTTCCATTTTATGTTTTGGTAATTGCAGGCATATATCGTGAAAGCTCATCATGAACCCAAGAACAGAAGCTCCAGTCTTCATTGTAACTAGAAAACATATATGCCTGACTTGTAAGCTGATGGTTTTTTTCTTCTTCTTCCTCTTTTATCTTTCTTCTACAAGCTAGAACAGTATTTGGAAACCTTTTTGAGTGATTATTTGTTCTGATCATACAGCTTCATAACAGTTCATAATGCTGGCAAACCAGATTAGAATATTTCTTCTAATGTTGGATTTGTTTGCTATGGGCAAATAGAAATTTGGAAGACATGGTTGTAAGTAGTGGTCAAATGTTTCAAAATGCTTCCCATCTTAAAAAATTCACATGTGTTTTCTATGATGCCTTATTTGGTCAATTGGACGAGTACTAGATTGAAAATATGTAGGTTACTCTCCAAAAAAAAAAAAAAGATTGAAAATATATAGGTGAAATTGACAAAAGATAAATAACATAGGTGCTAAATTTATATTTTAGGCATTATTATTCATTTTCTGTTCAAACACGCAATGAGAGACAGGCTGTATACTGAGGCGGCTGCTCCGACAGGAAAGAAATCCAAAAAAAAAAAAAAAAAAACGATTTTGTTTACATAATAAGTGAAAGTGGGTGGTGAAGTGGTTGCCCGATTTTGTTCTTCTGTATATTTTAGTCTTATTTATCGATTACTATGTAGTGTGATATACTTTTATTACCATTTTAAAGGGGTGGATTCTTTGAGTTAAAAAAGATTGAAATAATATATCTAAAACAAATACTACCTTCTATAAACTCTAAAGAATCACGAGTGTTTTAAAGAAAAAAATTTAGTCTTATTTTTAACAATAAAGTGGGGAGTTCAAACTTCACTGGGAACTTGAGGAGTATATAGTAAAACTTGAAATCACTTTGACAATTCAAGATTTATTTCTTGCATGGACCTTGGGGTGGATTCATAGCTGTTAATATATATTCTAGCGAAATTGAAAAATTTGGGTTATAGAAAAAAAGTATGCAGCGAAGGAAAGGACATCAACATAATTGTTTGGTAAGAAGATGAAAACAACAGTACATTTGTTTACTTAATGAGTTACTTGGATGAAACAAAAAGGAGCTTTATTTGACTATGTGACGGTGTGAGAAAACTTCATATCAACAATGTTAATATGAAACTACTCCGTAATTATCAACTTATGTTTCTTATGGTCATAAACATAGGTGATAATATCATACAAATCGTGGAAAAAAAGAAAAGAATACAATCTTTAAAGGTGCCCGGTTTATATGTTAAGCAATGACTAATTGTATTTATTAAGAAAGCTAAGTCAAAGTATGACTAGTCTAAGGTAATCCGCAACCCAGTAATGGGGTGGATTAGAACTTTTAATCTCATTTTTTATGTCCTTAAATTGTAGACCATTATAAAATTTAGATACTTATTTGCAGTTTCAACCAATGTGATCTTCAGTTTTATTTTGTTGTAAATTTAGTCTTTTAAGGTGTGAAATAGTTAGTTTATTACTTTATTTCATCAAATGTTATTGTATATCAATTTTCAATAATTTTTTTTGAGAGGCTAAATTGACTAATTTACACCTTGGGGGGATTAACACGATTAAACAATTGAGGATTATATTGATTGAAATTGAAAATATAAGATCAAATTTCATAATGAATAATAAAAGAAGGACCAAATTATAATTTTTAAAAATTAAATGAAACTTGTATTGAAAGACTTGTAAATTTTGTAAGCCTTCAAATGTACTTGTTCTCGTGTCTCACATTGCTAAGGCTTATTTTTTAAAATAAGTAAACATATTTATTATTATTTGAAAGTGATTAAGTGAGTTGAAATTGCATAAATCTACTTAATACTATTTTTTTTTTTTTTTTGGGTAAAAGCATACTTGTGAAAACGGGGAGAAAGAAAGAAATTACCAGACTCTTTGTGTTGAACATATAATATATATAAACATAAATGTGCAATCCAACTATGGTCCACATGTTGTTTGGATCCAATCAAAAGTATCCAACTATGAGCTTATGCTTGTGTCACCCCATAAAAAAAAACGATCATATTGTTTGGAGCCTATCAAAAGTATCCAATTATGAATTTATACTTTTAGTTGGGATGAAACACATGTGGTAGGGAATATCCCGACCGACATAGCTTCACCACGACCGAGGTGTCTTTGTCTCTTTCTCCTTGTCTTTGCAGGTAACAGGTCGGGCTCCACGAGAAGAACCCGGTCGTAGACCGACCGGAATTGCCCGAGCGACGGTGTCGACCACCGAGCGGTGGCCCTTGGACGAAAGAGCTAACGAAGGACACGTGGCGGCTCTTCACATCGGCAGGCAGGGCACCCGGGAGGATGACACGTGGTGGCTACGTGGAAGACATGCCGAGCGGCTGGAATCTTGTCCCCGGCATAGCGGCTATAAATACCCACAGTAGCTACAGTGTAAGGGACCTTTGGACGATCGATAGGCTGTTATTAGAGAGTCCCGATCGCACTCAGTCGGTACTCAGAGCAACCAAGTAGATTGTACTTAGGGCCTTTACCGTGATCAATAAAGATTTTACTTGCTTTAATTGGTCCCGTGTATTTTATATTGCTTACGTAAAATTAGCAGTATCATTTTGGCGCCGTCTGTGGGGATCCGTGCAAGAAACCAACGTTTCGACGAGCACCCAGTCTCTTCACCAATCATGTATCCGTGGGCACGCAACAACTTTGCCGACGACCAGGCGGATGCGGCGAGCTCATCCGACCACCATGCTACCCAGCAGCAAGGTCAAACGGTCGACCTCAACCTCAACCTCTCGCCACCGCATCCATCGAATGCATACCCGGCCGCCCAACAGCCGGTGCAGTACATCCAACCAGGGTACCAGCAGCCCGGTCAGCAATATCAGCAACCGATGCCTCAGATGGTCTATCCCGGTCAGTATCCATACCCGGTCCCACCTCCACCATACGGGTATTGGCCAGGCCAGCCGGTATATTACACACCACCGGTCGGTTACGCGCCGTACACACCTGCGTACACGGCTCCAGCCGCCGCCCCTCCAGTATACCCGGCCGCTCAAGTAGAGCCGCAGCATCAGCCCACTTCCCGGGCTCGACGCTCGGCTCGTTCGCGGTTGGGGTCGGGGGGTGCTGTTGCGATGGAGGCGTCGCAGGCCCAGCAAGAAGAGGAAGCTCCTGCCCGAGCGGAGGATCCCGAGGAAGTTGCCCGAGCGGTAGCTTTTGACCGTCTTCGACCGGAAATGCGGCAGAGACTGGGACCCCAAGATCCAGATCGCCGGTTAGAAGACGCACAGATGCAGGAAGCCAGCCAGGAGGCTTCATCCGGGTATAGCGGGTCGAGATCACACCGACGGCGACGCGCTCGGGATACAGCCCAAGCCGCTCAAGCCGCCGAGCTCAACGAAACCCGAGGATTGCTCTACAACCTCCAGGCTGAAGTTGCGCAGCTCAGGAATGCGTACCCTGCAGCACCCCCTACCGACCGATCGACCCTCCACCAGACGCCTTTCACAGCGGCGGTAATGGCTCAACCTTACCCGCTCGACTTAAAGGTCTCGGGAGAGAAGAGTTACGACGGTCGGACGGATCCTGAAGCTCATGTGAACGATTTTTTCAGCAACATGATGCTGAAGGGCGTTTCAGACGCCGTGATGTGCAGGGCTTTCTACTCAACGCTCACCGGTCGGGCGGCAGAATGGTTCCGAACCCTGCAGCCGGGGTCAATCGACAAATTTGAGACCCTGGCGATCAAGTTTGTGCGGAAGTTCATCACTTCCAAGGTGGTGAGGAAGTCCTATATGTATCTCGAAAAGGCCAAGCAGCTAGAAGGGGAAAGCTTGACCGACTTCCTCATCAAGTGGAAAGCAGCGGTCGGGGAGGTCGAGCCCATGGATGATGCGACCGCCACTCACATGCTTCACATCTCCCTCCGGGCGGGGTATCTGTACCAGGATTTTATCCTCCACCCCCCGACCACATATGAGGAGGCCCTCCGAAGGGTCACTGATTACGCCAATGCAGGTGAGGCGAATGCCGTTAAGCGCTTGCAGGAGGTCGGCTCGTCGTCCCGTAAACCGGCCGGCCGGGCGGAACATCGATCGGGAGATGACAATCCCCGACCCCGCACCAGGCATGGCGAGTTTACGGCCTTGAACCGATCCGCCGCGGAGGCCATGCAGTACGCCCAGTCCTGCAATCTCATCAAACTCCCCCATCCCGATCGAGACGGCCCTGATAAGAGTAAGCATTGTGCTTACCATCGATGCGCCGGGCATGACACCGAGGAGTGCACCCACCTGCGCCAATTATTGGAAGATTTGCTCAATTTGGGAAAATTGGACAAGTGTGTGGGGAAGAGAGAGGAAAACAAGAGGAATACCGATCGGAGGGATCACAGGCGATCTCATCACCGCTCTGATCGGTCGGGTCAGGACCGAAGAGACGATCGTCATGATGACCGACGGGACCTCGACCCCCCATCTGGCAGCCGACCATCCGGCAAGCCCACCATCCATGTCATATTTGGCGGGCTAGAAGATGCATCTCGATCGAGGACGAACTGCCCGGTCGCGATCGTAGATTCTCGGGAGACCGGGAAAAGACAGAAGATGGAACCCATAACCTTCACCCTTGAGGACCAACCTAGCAGCAGCGACCACGGCATGGAGGCGCTGGTGGTCACGATCGATGTCAAGGGGACGGATGTCCAAAGGGTTATGGTGGACACGGGCAGCAGTGTGAACGTCCTTTACTTGGACGTCTTCGAGAAGCTGGGCCTCGACAGGAAGGAGCTGACTCCGGTCGGTGTACCACTGTCGGGATTTACCGGGGCCTTGATCTACCCCGAGGGAAAGATAACGCTCCCCGTAGAGATCGGCACGCCTCCGAAGTCGATCAAGACGGAGCTGGAGTTTGTTGTGGTCAACCTCCATTGTGTCCACAACATAATCTTGGGCCGACCCGCCATTATGAAGATCGGTGGGATAATTTCTATGCCCCACCTGTGCATGAAATTCCCTACCCCCAACGGGGTCGGCGTGGTCCGCGGCGATGTCCAATCCGCCCGGAAATGCTACACCCGAGCGGTTAATAGACGCGACTCCGGTCCGTCATCCCGGGTGAATACCATAGCCAAGGAGGAGGCTAAGGAACGGAAGGAGCAGCCTGAGCCTTCCGAAGAGATTGAAGAAGTTCCCCTGTCCGAGGACCGCCCGGACAGGAAAATTAAGATTGGCCGAGCCCTCACCCCCGAGCTCCGGGCAGAAGTCCTG